GATGGGATATGGCTTCACAACACTCAAAGGAACGATGAGATCGGGAAGATAAAGATGTAAAGAGAGCTTGCGCTGGCATCCTAGCTGCGGGGGGGCACCGGCCTCAGGTCCCTCGTTTCCACAAATCGGACTGGGTCTGGCGCTGAGATCCCAGGCCCGGAAGTTGCCCGCACGTATATGAGGCTAGTATTTATGGCCTGATAATAGATCGAGTACGATGTAAGAATAGGTCACAGTTACGAAGAGCCATTTAATCGGGTGCTGGAGCCTGGCACTAGTGTATAGCTTAGCCATACAAGACCTGAAAATATGCCGATGCGTATTATAATTCATGAATCGTCTTAATGCAGAATCATGCATTCGCCCACATAAGGATGACAAGGTTATGGTACTCGTGTTGTTAGTTGTGTCCAAGTTTCTAAATCTGGTCTTCTTGCTTGGATTCCATGTTTTTTTTGCTATTTTACGAGTCACACGAGGTGTGGGTTATGACGAGATAGAGCTTGGCAATGGGCGTATCCGGCGACTACCTTGCACTGCCCTACCTACTATTATAAACTGGAATCTAATTATGCTCAGGCGACTGATACATGGGCACCCGCCTTATGCGCATTGTGGCTTAGTAAGCATATGAGGTTTTGTATTTAGATCCAGTAAACACACTGAACCTACACGACCGGGTGCAGCGAAGTGTCAGAAATTCTGACACTTCGCTGCACTCTTAAAGAGGCCTAAAAAGCGGGGGCGTGCACGAGTAAGACAAAGTTGTGTTGTAAAGTAGTTAGTTACATAGGTGAATTATTAACATGTTGTTTCACGTGGGCTCATCAAAGATCTAACTGACTCGTACTGCAGCATTCCACGCAACAAGAATATAACGGGCCAGGCCCGAGAATGGCCCGGCTTCGCTCTCGCCTGTTACCGACAAGCTGCAAATGGCGGGACCCGTCAACATGCTAGATTGCCAGCGGCTGTAACAGTCTAGCGAGTATTGAGTACTATTGACGACTGACTAGATGATTCTAACGAGTATTTAAAGCTGAAGAGGAAAGAGAGGAAAGAAGAAGAAAAGGAGAGCTCCTGAGCTCGCCGCTGGCGGGTCCCACCATTTGCAGCTAGTCGTTAACAAGCGAGAGCGAAGCCGAGCCATTCTCGGGCTTAGCCCGTTATATTCTTGTTGCGTGGAATGCTGCAGTACGAGTCAGTTAGATTTGTGCATACCTAGCACACTGGCATGTCCTTGCATAATGAGAAGGCATTTTGCACTATTTCTTTTAGCAACATAGTTCTTAACGTGTATTCGAACTGGATAAATAGCAAGTCTCACCCCGGCATTATAATTTTAAATATAAATCCACATACAAGCCAAATACCAATAACTAACAAGCTACTTAAAATAGTTAAAATAAAAACAAAAAGGTCGACGATTATCATGTGCATGAAGTGTTAAAAGTAGGGGAAATTAGAATGATAGACGAGTATTATGCGCATAAACTAAAATACTGGACGAGTATTATGCGCATAAACTATTAAAAGTGGGGAGAATGTTCCGGAAGGAAGTGCGGCTATGCATAGAAGGCTTTTGCGTTTGAGAAGTAGTTATGCCTTAAGTTGTGGGGCTGCGACTCTGTTGTGTATGCAAACGGGGACTTAGTATGCCCCTCAACTCAAAGTATTTATATTCAGTGAACCGCTCAGACCGACAAGCTTATCATCCATTACTTTTACCTTATTTATTACAAACATTATTTCGGCACCTGAGACCTCTTCCAACGACTCAGCTCGACGAAATGAAGCATTTCAGCATTCTTTTTACTGCCTGCACCGCACTGGCCATAGCCGTACCAGCCATCAATCAACAGGCCAAAGGCGTTGGTGAACCATGTCTGACGGAGCTTACGCCTTGTGGTGACGGATTGTGGTGTAAACCAAATGTGGATACTCCGACGAATAACTTTGGGCAAAAAGGAACCTGTCAGCCAAGAAAGCAACAGACTGAACAGTCTGAACAGTCTGAACAGCCTGAGCAGCCCAAAGGTGTGGGTGAACCATGTCAGAGACCAACAAATGGAACAACAATCGGGACAAACGGCCAGACGCTAAACTATTAAGGGCTCTGATTCCTTAGTATCGGAGAAGACCCGGGAGGGGGCGAAGGTGGTGCATATCAGGGCGAATTTGCATCAGACTGGCCATGTAACGGGCTAGGACTGATGATACCTCGGCTGCACTCTCTCTATCAACAGCTGCCAGTGGCGGGACCCGCTAATAAGCGGCGAGCTCTCCTTTTCTTCTGTCTTTTAGTTTTGGATATTCGTTAGAGAACAATCCAGTCTGTTGTCGATATACTCCGTAGACAGGTACAGTTTCAATAGAGGCAGTTTTATCCGACCCTTTTTTACATTTTAGAACACAAGATAACAAGGCAGCTTGTGTGATAGAACATAAGTAGCTGCCGAGACGTGAAATACAGAGACAAAGGTCGCGTTGGCGACAGCCGCAAAAGCCCAGATCCTCCAGGGTCAAATACCTACTGAACAGAATGAATAAAGTCCTGAAACAAGCCATCCGAGCCATTCTGCCGACTTGGAGAACGACGCCAGTCGATGTCATGCACCGAGAAAGCGGCATACCGCCGGCTGCCAGCTTCTTGAAGCGAGACGAATCAGATTCTCGGCACGCATAAAGTCTTTGGACCCTGCACACCCTCTGGTGAAGCGCACGATCGAGGCAGAGCCACTGCCCATCGTCAAGGGCATCAAGTTGAAGTACCAGCTACCTGAAAAGCCGTTTCCAACTAGACTAAGGAGGACAGACAACCTGCTACCTCGATGCCAGCGCCCAGTCCTTCTCCCACGCAAGTACGCCAGTGAGCCACTGCCGCCTCTTCAAACCGCAGCAAAAAAAGAGGCCGCGGAGGGGTTTAACGCATGGCTTGAATCTGTCTCGCCCCTCACCGTCATTGTGTATTCAGACGGCTCTCTTTCCGAGAAAGGTGCCGCTGGATATGGCTTCACTATTCACCAGAACGGACGTTCCCTACGCCAGGGCGCGGGACGCCTTGGCCCCGCTGAGGTGTTCGACGCCGAGGTCAGAGGAGCACTGGATGGGCTGAAAGCTGCACTCAGACTGCCGCAATCCGCCTCGCAAAAGATAGTCGTGTGCCTTGACAACATCGCAGCCGCCGGATGCCTGCGAGGACAACCTTCTGACTCATCGCAGGGGGTCTTTCTCGCCTTCCAAGCCCTTGCAAAGAGACACAGACAGACAGACATCCGCTGGATACCCGGACACAGCAACATTGCAGGGAACGAGCAAGCTGATGTGCTCGCGAAGGTAGGATGTACGCATCCAGAACCCATGAATGCAGCCCCAACCCTGGCCTTCCTGCGTAGAGGCGCGAAACGGCAGTGCAAAGACGTAGCTCGCGCCTGGTGGAACGAAACTGCTCCTGACAAGTACCGCTCTCTAAACCTAGACTTCCCAAACTGCTGCCCTCCAGAGCTTGACCTCCCCCGGCCAGTGCTTCATCACCTCCTTGCTGCCAGAAACCACCGTGATTTTGCCGACTACCACGAAAGGTTTGGCCATGACGACGCAAAGCTGACATGTTCCTCCAGCTGGCGCAAGTCCCCGACACATCTCTTCTACTGCAGAAAGGTCGATCCACGTCACCGGATGAGGCTGGCACCCTCGCCGGTAGTAGCGATCGACCGCGCGATAGGCAGAGACTTTGAAAAGTTTGTCAAACTAGCCCAAAGTAGTTCCTTCTTTGAGAAGATTTGCCCACGTCTGTAACGAGACCTGACCTACAGCACTATCGTGCTTCCCTTTCCCTTTGTCTAATTTTCTCTTTCTGGCAGCGTTAGGCGGGAGGTGGCCTCAGGCACCTTTTGTCCGCGCGCATGCCATCTATGACTGCTATAGCAGCCCGCGCGAAATTCTTCAATCTGTGTCGTAACATCTGAACATCCCGCTGACGGGAACAGATTTGCTTGTAAGCGCCTTCGAGCTGTCGCAATGTTAGATAGTGCTCTGTTTATATCTTATGTGTGGTTCGCGACACAACAAATTTTGTAAATAACACTAGCCTAGCACGTCCTGTGCCCCGCGTAGGGGACCTGAGCAGCCAATGGCCGCTGGACGGAAAATACACTCACTCACTCACTCACTCTAGCCGCGGAATGGGCTTTTACAGGTCCTTGGTGGTGTGTCCATGTCACTCCTTGGCTGGGTCACATACATGCTCAGAACAAGTGCGGGACGGAATCCTATAACTACCTTACTATCAACACACACAATACATGTACGTCTCGTTATTTTGTAGCGTGCAGTATTATTTATGCCGAGAAGGCGCGCTACTGGCTCCCAAAGCCCCTTGTTGCTGATTTTGGATCCCTGAATTAAAACAGCCTGAGGTGAAAATCTGATACAGCCCCAGCGTTCATCCATAAAGATCCATCAAGTCACGCAGGTGACCTGAGGACCAATTTTCACGTCCATGCCAAGTATTTCGGTCGCGTTATAAGAGACGGATTTCATTAGCTCAACTTTTTGTGGCAATTTGACATTATTCTTAATGTTGTGCCTCCCCTAGAACGGCTGGTGTCATGTATCATAGCTCCAAAATTTCACTGTTCAGTTTTCCAGACTTCTGATATCTATGGTTGCGTGGAAGATTCAGCAGTAAAGGACTTCGGATTCTCCTCCTCGATTGGGTTACTTACCACAATCTGCCTTTCGACATTGTCAACACCGAACGGTTTCAGCGAATCCTTCTCTATGGCAACCCGCTTCTTGATGTCGCTCATATCCCCTCTGCGAAAACTCTTTTTCGCATGCTCGAGTCTGAGTATAGGGGCGCTGTAGGGCCGGTTACTGAAATATTGAACTGCGCTCGATCACAAATCCATTTTTCCTTCGACGGTTGGACCTCAAAAACGTACACTTCATTCTTGGGGATCAACGCCCAATTTATCGACCGCAGCTTTGTTCAGCACCGAATACTTCTTGGGTTTCGACCTCTCTCGGGTAGACACAATGGTGCATCGCTTGCAGATGAGGTCGCTGATACGCTCGCATTTTGGCAGATCAACGACCCCGACAAACTTGGGTATTTCACACTCGACAATGCTACCAACAACGACACCTGCATGGAAGAGCTTGCGTTTGAACACAACTTCTCTTCTGAAGAGCGAAGAATTCGGTGTGGCCCGCATGTGATCAACCTCTCCGTCCGGGATCTGCTTTACGGGTCAAAACGGGAGAATTTTGCTGCCATTGTCGCAGCTGATGGCGATGACCAGGATGAGGATGAGCACATTGATCATGCCATCGACGAGGCTCTGAACGGAGAAACGGACTACGAGGACGTGGAGATGCAAGCAGATGCTGTTGTGGACCCAGATGAGGACTTTACGTCGTCACATCCGGCCCCAGAGGAGATCAACGAGACCAATTTCAGGGAGTACAGCCCAGGCTTGGAAATCGATCGTACAGATCGATTCTGAGCTCTGGTCG